TGCTTTCTTGTACAACCTAAGACCACCAACCACTGCCCTGCCCCACAGTGAGCTAGGCCCTCCCACATCAATTATTAACCTAGAATATGCCTCCACAGACTCGCCTGCCAGCTATCTGATGAAGGGATTTTCTCAATTGAGATTCCTCTTTCCAGATGACTTTAACAGTTGTCAACTTGAGGAAACAAAACACAAAACAGCAGAAAATGAGGCAGGTGGAATTTTAAAAGTTCTAAATATAGAACTATTATATTATTCTTTTTTTTTTTTTTTTTTTTTTTGGTTTTTCAAGACAGGGTTTCTCTGTGTATCTCTGGCTGTCCTGGAACTCACTCTGTAGACCAGGCTGGCCTCGAACTCAGAAATCCGCCAGCGGTCTCTGCCTCCCAAGTGCTGGGACTAAAGGTGTGCGCCACCACCACCCAGCTGAACTATTATATTATAAAATAGAACTCTCACCACTCTGTAGTCAAACCTAATTTTAGGCAGTGTAGGTCTATAATGTTTTCTTAGCCTTGTGATGAATTTCACATTTTGATTTAATCTTTCCAAGAAACTCTTGGGTGTCAAAGTAGATCAATTCCACACAAAACAATGAAGGATACTTTTTAAAGATATATGTTTACACACTTATTTTTGTAGTTCTGGGGATAGAACCCAGGCTTTTTTCTTGTACCTCTTAGGCAAGTCCTCTGCTGCCAATGTGTTTATTTTGGCCTTTAACCTGTGTTTTTGAGATAGGTATGCAGAACACAAGGTGAGGTGATCATTGGACATCAGTGCAGTGACTTCTGGAGCAAGCTCTGTTCTGAGCATCTTTGTCATAGCAGCAGCACCTTGAACATATGGTGTTATTATCCCCACTGTGAGGTGGCAGGGGACATAACTGTGAAGTAACTCAATGAGACACAGCAGGACCAAGATTCAAATCCAAGTGTTTGGTGCTCCTGTTTCTGTTACTGGCCACTTAGCACTGTGCATCTTGTGTTAAAGCCAGGTGAGGAGGATTCAGGTGAACTGTTAGCTAGGCAGAGTGTGTGTACTCATTTGTGGTTGAACGTGTGATTTTTTAAATTTCTCATTTTGTTCTTAGCATATTTTTAAAGATTTATTTATTTATTTATTTATTTATTTATTTATTTAGTGTATATGAGTACACTGTAGCTGTCTTCAGACACACCAGAAGAGGGCACTGGATCCCATTGCAGATGGTTGTAAGGCACCATGTGGTTGCTGGGCATTGAATTCAGGACCTCTGGACGAGCAGGCAGTGCTCTTAACCACTGAGCCATCTCTCCAGCCCGCATATTTTAAATTTTTCTATTTGTATAGATACTATTTCTCATTTACTTATTCAGATTGTATTTTATGGATATCTACTACGTACTTAACATGGCTACAGGGAGTGGATATGTAGGCATGAACATGGTGAATTAGGTCCCTTTCTTTGTGGGTCAGTCACTGGAGAGGATGAGACAAAACCCAAGTTGGTGTGAAGAAAATGACAGTGATGGGGAATGGGGGTGACCTTTTAGATAGAGGCAGGGAGGAATGTGGCATTCATAGGTTAGTGACTGAGGGATATGGGCTTTGTTGGGAAGCATGTTTTAGACAGAGGGAATAATTGTGCAGATTCAGGAGGTGGAAGCAACATTAAAGACAGACCCTAAAATTGGGAGGCTGTGTGTCAGAGCCAGGCTGGGGTGGTTGTTAGGAGACGGGGCTACAGACAAGATGTGCCTCCTCTATCCATCCTGGTAGGTTAGGAAGCAGAGGTCTTCCTTCTATTTAGATGCTCTTTGGAATGATCTATGACCCAAGAATAATCTTACAGTAATCCTAAACAAGTCATTCCATTGCATTGTTAATACTGAATGGTTCGATTTATTTTTTTTAACGCCTTTAGGGTTAAAACAGCCAGCCGGCCGTGAGTTATTTGAAGATGGTAGAAACATGATCTTGTGAGCCCCCTACAGACAGGATGTGGCATTTCCTCTTTTGGTGACTTGGAGACTGGTGTAACTAGTTAGGACCCAGTGATGAAGTATAGCACTTCTCTTGGATTTAGAAGAAGAAGCAGTGAACATTATACCAGCATACTGGTATAAAGATTCTTTACCATTTATTATATAGTCTTTAATTTTTTTCCTTGATTAGCATACAAAGAAATGGATTTCATCCTGACATTTTCATACATACATATTATGCTTATTTACCCCTCACAACACCCTGACATCTTTCTACTTATCCCCTCGATTGTCTCCACCTTCCCTCCAAGTAGTTCCCTTTCCTCCTTTTAAGAAAGGTTTTACTTTATCTTTTATTTAGTGCCTGTGTGAACACACTTGTGCCATAGTACACATGTGGACATCAGAGGGCAGCTTTCAGGAGTTGATTTCTCTCTGGTTGAGAGGAAAATGCAGGTATTCTTGGAGAGAGAGAGAGAGAGAGAGAGAGAGAGAGAGAGAGAGAGAGAGAACTTTAAAAACAGAATTGAAGGACTTTTTTTGAGAGATGTCTTTTAGAAGAACTTTCTTAGAGAACTTTTTAGAGAGAACATAGAAATAAAGATTAAAATCACTTTTCAAAGTGTTCCTTTTTCTTCC